ACGATTACAGATATTATAACATTGCTACCGTAAATACAGAACGATAATTACTAGCGATAATGAAGCATGTTCACTAGTCATTTTCACCGCAACATTAACGAGAAGTCGCTGTTTTATTCCACATGACATTGGGTGCTAAAAGTTTAAGGAACTATTCAGACTCCGTCCTCATTTGACTTTCAACTTTTCAAAGGCTCGCGTTAAGTGACGTAACTTCGCTTTGGAACCGGAATTTTCCGGAAAAGACCCGGCTTTCGCTCGCTTCATCCGGGTGTTATCGCTGAGGCTAAGCAACCATCCGTCACTCGTTTTGCATTTTAAATTCATATAACCACATTTTTCCCGGGAACTTGTGCTTCGAAACTCTTTGTCGAAGCATCTCGTAATATCATGCCTTAGCTGTTGACATAATGTAACTTTAACACAACAGCTTTGGGTAAAGTCCTTTCAATGTCAACGTTGTCTTGTTCGTAACGGTATTTAGAACTTTTTTTGGAAAGCTTTTAATGTTGTTTTCCTTAATAACATCAAACCTTAGCAAATGCAAACACCTAATTGGTCATAGTTAAGGGTATCCCTGTTTGGGAGCTAGATACATCTTTGTACCTATTTTACTGTATTTTGCAATAAAATTATAAAGTTAATGTAACAAGTTGTTATACCTATCTGAAAACTTGTCGAAGTATTTAATTGACTGTATAATTAATAAAGTAGATGAAGTTAGTTAATGGCTGCGGCGTCACGTCACACAATAGAAAGTGAAGCGGGCTTGTGCCGGCGCATCGGGCGTTAGAAAGCGGCCAGCCCCCAACGACGACGACCGAACGTTCACGAAACCAGACTTGGCGCATTCTTTTGCGAGTACTTGCGGGTGTGAACTTCAAAAAACAATATTGCTTAAGGAATTCTATATATTACAGAGCTTCAAAAATCTGGAAAGATTTTTAAACAAAAATTCGAGTAATATACCTCCCAGTGAAATCCTGGATTAATTAAAAGTTAAGAGCAAAATATGAAAACTAAATATTTGTATTTACTTATGATTACGAAACTTTTCGTCTAAATACAATACCGTAGTAAAGTTATTACTAGTTACAATGATTCCAGTATTTCAGACTGAAGTATTATGCTCTCTATGTGTTCCTTGAAGTTTACGTACATATACTCTGCTTTTACCGATGTATGATTGTAAATTAAAAATATTTAAATTGTATCAAAAAATCAATAAATTCAAATCAGTGATTTAAACCTCCTCGAAAATACCTCGTTTATATTCCATCGACATACTAATTCGTAAACTTAGAAGACGTAGCGTTAACTCTTACTTTGTTAGTAGGAAACAGCATAATCAACCCCGACTCGGTTGTGCCCGCCGCCCCTTTGACATTAAACTTGTTTGTAGACCCCGACCCCACTCGGCCAGGTGGGCCAGATGGATGTGCGGCACACGATTGGCCCTTCATCGGTGATGTTTTAATGCCATAAGTGGATGCTACTTTATTGGTATTTGTGTCATTGTGTTGTTTACAATGCATTTTTCGAGTAGGCCTTGTTTTTCATTTCGTAATGACATGATAACTTCTTTATTGGTCCATTTAGACGGGATAAAGTCAATCATTGTTTCATAGATAAGTTACACTTGAAACCGACATATTGATTAAACTCTACAGTTCATTCGAAGGTACATTCCCCTGAGAAGAATAACTAAGATACTCCTAGGGGTTGCTCATTGTAAATAAATATTTGTGCACGTTTATCATTTACAATATATATATCGAACATCATAGATATAAGAGCTAAATTATCATGGATTGTCATGGATGTCACGGATTTTTGTTATCTAATACGTACAATTAACTTAAGTATAAAGTTTTTGTTGCACTATAGTTTTAAAACTCGTGAATGGCAAATTTTGAATATCAACCAAGCGTATAAATTTGCCCCTTAAATGAATTGTTGACCTTGTGAATTTATTCTTCGTCGTAGTGTTATGTTTGTCACTGTTTTTCATATATTAACAAAATTACTATTCTTCACATACATTACATTTTTATAAATGCATTGTGACGCGAGTGTTAATTTCATTAAACTTCTCAAAAACCTAGATTGTAAATTGCCCTAATCACACGTTTCTGCAGGACTAAAACTCGATTACTATCTGCGTGGACAGCCCCATAACTTTCTACGTTATTTTTGGTTATAGTGACCCTTCCTACCTACTCTTAAAGGGCACTATAACCCGTGCGCACACAGGAACCTTCTAAGTTCTGATCCTGAGCCTAGATCAACCAGTGCACAGGGATGTCGCAGACTGTTGTCGCTGACTTCATCCGGTTCTCAAGGGGTAGTGCCTCCGGTGAGCCGCCCAGGGTGCACGTACTCCCTATTTTCCAGATAGAAGAAACTAGAAGGATCTAGTCAGTCAGTCCTTGTCCTAGGTCCCATCTATGTCAATACCAAAATCATAAAATTTAGTTGAGCGATTTTGACGTAACAGACAGTTACTCGCAAATAAAATGTTAGTTTGGATAATTTCTTAATCGTGGTAAACATACAATAACCTATGTCCTGGCAATTTTATTCTCTACATTGAAGTCCAGACAAGGGGACGGTCGGTTCTTGACCTCATAATAATGTTCGCATGCGTGAATACACCTGCTTGTACGCACTGCGTTTAATTAACCCGTTAAGGCTTTAGTGTTTAACGACTTATAAATGCTCCTCTTTAACTGTATAAAAGTATTCAATGGTTGCGATTCTGTCAAATACAAACTAAAGGCAATTAATATTCAGTACATCTGTCCTGAGTTATCAATAAGAAAACTTTAGGAGATTTATTTATTTAGTTATTTCTCTACGGGTGTACAATTTATACTTATTGTAAGGAACTTGCCAACCTGGGCAGCAGGTTGTTGGCAAGACAATGCTCTTTTCAAATACAATATAAGTTTTTAATAAGAAGTTGCATTAGATACTTGTTAATTTTCTAAATAAATAAAATTTCTGAAAATAGGTAATTTTCAAGTTGGTTTCTCTATATCACATGTTCGCAAAGTTTTTGATTCACCGCCCACTTAGGCAAGATAAAAAATTTAAACCTTACTGCCACAAAAATAATTGAAAACACTTTATTTTTTATATTAACAACACAAAAAATCACAAGTTTAAAAAACATATTTTTGTAGTGTAGTTTATATAGATAATTCTAGTTGTTTTTTAATTGCGTTAACACGTCCTGGACAGCATCAACGCCCCCCAATTGCTTCCGAGGTACCGCCCCTCTAGGACTCTTCAGCACCCACTGGCGGCAGTGGGGACCACTTTGAAAAAGTATGCTCTATTATAATTTCGTTGGCAATTTTTATTGTTTAAGTATTCAAGTATATTATCTTGACATGCTAAATAATATTCTAAAATATTTAAATAATAAAAAATTAGGTAAAAAGTAATAACCTCAAAATTATCCATGGAACTTTAAAAAAAAAACTTTTTACTAAATAGCATAATATAAATACATTTTTTTTTTCATACAAACCAACGTTACGAGCCATTTACAGATCCCATATGAAAGTCACTGCTGACACGGAGTTGTCAAATTTTGACATGTCATTACAAATTTACTCGTGGTGCTAATACCTCTAAAATTATGTAATTGTCAAATAGACTAAGTTTTTTACAAGTTTTATCTGAAACGTCTTCTGTCCTTTTCTTTCCGAAAACACACGAAACAGATGTACTAAACTTAGCTTAGTTTGCGTTAACTCTAACTTACGCCAATGTAAAACTTAATTAGTCCGATTAGCTCCCTGAATGAAAACGATTAGTCTTGTTCAGTTAAGTTCGTGCGAAATTGTTCGCATTGTTTTGGAGCCGAAGTTAATTTGTAAGATGTTTTTATTTTGTTACGTCATTTTCATCTCGTCAACAATGTTAAGCTCGTATTCCATCTTAAATGCAGGTCGGTATTAAGATCAACTGTCTTTATTAATATATATCACTTGAGTGCACATCAATGATTCGTTAATTACGCGTCAGTTGTAAAAATGTTTGCTTATTAATAAAAGTCACTCAGAAATTAAGCTACGGCTTGAAATCGTTCTTAACTCCTAATCACTCAATACCGATACGCATTTAATACCGGACTTAGGGAGTTGTTTTGTAATACTGACCGTATTGTGTACTCTTGGCATCGCCTCTGCAAAAATGGTCTTTGAGAATTCTTTGAAATGTAAGTTAATATTGTAAAGTGGTGACGTGACCGAAATTTTCCTTGGTGCTTTCAAGGTTACGAAACAGCTCTTGTATTGTTGACTGTAACTTAAAGAGTTGCAATTAAGTTTCCTATACCGAAAACTTGCATCGTCTTTCTGTTTCTTGATTGTTACCAAACCCTAGTGAGGATTTCACATACTATTCGTCATTGTCACAGTTTGTCAAGAAATGGTAATAAATAAATATTAGACAAAATCACACGTACATTGTTCTGATCCCAAAGCAAGTAACTAAAGTACTTGTGTTATGAAAATCGGAAACAATGACGGCACCATGAACACTCAGACCCGAGACAATATAGATATCGAGTTCTTAGGTTTTCGTTATTGTTACACATAGGAAATGAAGCTACTTTTCCGGATTTAAAGCGCGTATATTTGTTTTTTCAAACAAACCAACGTTTCGGGACCTTTACAGGTCCCATGGTCACTTGTGACGATTTCAATCCGGAAAAATAGTTTCATTTCTAATATAGATAAGTTAGTTTTTCTACGTTGACCCGGTCGAGGATCGAATTGGACTTCCGATTGCTTCGGTTTGGATTGTTTGTGTTAAGTATTTCATAAACTATGCGAAATGGTAATGCTAATGTACGCGTAGAAATTCGTACAACTTGAAATAATTAGTTTAAGTGTAAGTAACGTAATTACGTACTTAACGTCCTCAATTGCGATGAGATTTTGCATTTAATTTATTTTGTGTACTAATTTTGAGTTTTCTCGTTTCAGACTGAGCTCTATGGCATAAAATGGCGTAAGCTGGTATGGGGCGAGACAAGTGGTGGCGGGGACGGGGAGGAAGGCACCGCTCCCCTAGCGGACCCTGTGATCAGCAGTTATGCCCGCTGCCTGGCTGGGGACATCCTGTGCGTATGGCGCAGAGTGCCCTCACCCCAGCCCACGGATATCTATGACATGAGCACCCCCGCCCCGCCACCCCTGTCCCTAAGAGCCGCCAAAGAACTGTGGATCTTCTGGTACGGTGAAGAACCGGACCTAAATGGATTGGTAGCACCGGAGTTGATCGCTAGCCGTGAGTATAAATTTCTTGTATACAATTATCACTTTAAGAGTCTTAACTGTGCAAAGCGGACTGTCCGCGAGCGGACGAAGTGATGGATGGCTCTACGCACCCGCGTCGCACTGAAGCATAACACACTGTACCCGTCTGTCACGGACGTCCGCGTAGATCATCCCCGTCGTGCTATTAGGGGACTAACTCCTATATTTTTAAACTATACGAAGTCAGATAATGCAGAAGTATCTTTGTTGCATAAGTAGCCGACAAATTTGTGTTAACAGCATTTAGCAGTAAGCATGTCATCAATGTTGTGATTTTACTATCGTACTATATTATAACACGACAAATTGCTGCTAAAAATATTACAGAAGATGAAATTATTCCTCATATATTCTTTGATAATCTGTGGTAGCCTAATGGTTTGACCTTTCGGCTCTCATGCGGAGAGTCGTGTGTTCGAATCCGGGCTTAGCTGGTTTTGCGAAATTTTATTTGATATTAACATGAGCTTTTCGGTGTACTAAAACATCGTGAGGAAATATGTACATATCTGCAAAGTAATTTAATGTGTAAAGTAGTGATACGACGGAAGTGTCATAACAGAAACAGATGTCAAAAGTAAATCTTAGCGGAAACGGAAGCGGATGCGGAAGCGGAAGTGTAAATACTATAAAGATATCAACGACATAGTTCCAAATAGGACTTGTTTTTTGTTCATAATTGGACATAGTTAAGCAAATTAGAACCAACCCACAAAATGTCACTATCGAGATAATTAGATTTTTGCGAAAACAGTGTGAAGAAATAAATAGGTAAGTTCTTTGAGACAAACGTGAGTTATGTGTATCAATGAGAATGATATAGGGAAACTATTATATTATATAGCAATAAACTGAAAACATTATGTATCTTTTTATTTAGCTAATGAGAACCATGTTCTAGTTTTCGTAATGAAAATGCTAAAGATCTACAGTACTTCAGTACATGTGACATGGATTCATTTAGCGTATTTAAAAAAAATACATTATATGAAGTTAAGTAGGATGATTCTTTTTAGCTATTAAAAAGTTACTTGTTTAGGGTTGGTACCTTGAAGGACTATTATTTTCTCCGTTTTGGCTTGGTATATTGCCAGGATCTTTTGTGAGCGGGTAAAGGACACGTCTGGTGTTCTACCTAAATACATAACTCAATTTCACTCGAGGTGTGGGTTGGTTCTTGTTTGCATAACTATGTCCAATTGCACTTTGCACAACACGAAACTGTGTGTCCATTGTGAAAGTTGTAAACTTCTGATTAAAGTTCCGCTTTAAAAATTGCGGAAGCAGAAACGGAAACAGATGTGAAATAGCGTGCGGAACTTCCGCAGTTGAGGAAGCAGATGTCTGTTGAATCACCAGTGTGAAGTTCCTAATCCGCATTGGGCCCGCGAGGGAACTACAGCCCAAACGAGACGCCTGTGCCCAGCAGTGGGACTACATATAGGCTGACTATTATTATACTTTAATGTAACATTCATACTTTGATTCGGAAGATTTACAACTATCAGCTTGTCTTATCTGTTAACAAGTTAGCAATAGCCAAATTGCAACACCAAGTTGCTCTCGAGCCTCTATAGTCTGGTTTTTTGAAGACGGAGTAAAATGACATTTGTTGAGTTGCCAGTTTTCATAAAAGTTTCAATAGTTATGTACTTGTTATCGATAGTTTCATCGATAGAATGTGAAAAAAGAGAAAATTGTGCCAAAAAATGACTGAATTGTGATTGTTACGACGTTCTAACAATTACTAATTGCGTTATTGCCTTCTCTATTCTTATTGCGACAGTTGACCTACTAGTATCGAGATCAATTTTTATTATTCATATACATACATTGTAATAAGAATAGCCGGATTTGATTATCTATATTGAATTAAAATGAAAAGCTTTAAGGGCGCGTTCAAATTAGCCGCTGTTAGCTTTGAACGCGCCCTAAGATGTGTCTCCTCTTTGTATTTTTCATAAACAGACTTCTAAATAATAGTGTACGTATGTATGAAGTTACAAAAATTTACAATTCAAATGAACTTGTGAACTGTAATCGGATGAATAATTGGTCGAGAATGAAATAAGTTGGGCTATTTATTCCCTGGGCGTGACCCATATTCAATCGATAGTCGATAGAATATTTATCGACTGAAATCACTAACTGCTCCTAGTGGGTAACACTTTTGTTCAATGAACTGTCTTTTTATTCCGTCTTCAAAAAATACAGACCGTAGAAATGCCTTGTACGTTAATCCGATATTGTAACTTAGTAACGGATTATGCAATAACTTTGGGTTATATTATTGATTGACGTTCTGGTTGGTTCTGTTTCTAAGCAAGACGTTGTTTACTGAAAACTACGCCAGAGTTATCGGTATATCGAATGTAAACACTGAATCAAAATTAATTTAAGGTTTAATTCCGTTCATTAGTACATGGTGAGACCTACGTACCGTATTACAGTAAGCAACTTGAGATGACATAATTCGATTGTCATACATTCCCAGCAACAATAGCTCAAGTTAACAGCTCGTTAGCTCCGCGATAACAATTACACGAAAGATTAAGATCGCACCGTCACGCCGGGAACATTGTTCCCTGAGTCTCTACGTTGTTAGGGAAAACGGGAAGGAGTTAGGGGGCTTTTGGGGGCCTAGAGAAACTGGGGCTGGGTGTTAGAAGGGATTGGCGCACTTATATATATGTGGTGTCAACTTGTGACGTTTTGTATCTGGTACAGACATGCGTGAGATACGGTTACATATATTTTATTGTGTTTAGATTCAAAACTTAACTGCAATAAACTTGTTAATGTCACAATCGTTTTTAACCACAAGACAAAACGTACTATACAATCATTTTTATTTTTTTTTATAAAAATCTATTTTCCTAGTTTCATTAAAACCCTTTAGCGGAAAGTGGGTTAAATCCGATAAACCGGATTCATTGACCCCCTAATTTGCCACCCTTAGGGGTGGAATGTTTCCTTCAAATTGAAATGGGACCACTACTAAGGTGCCCTAAGTTCAACAAAAAAAGAATCCTCGATATCGGTTCACAAATGTCGTAGAAAACGTGAACATTGCATAAAAAAACAGTCTTCAAACAATCATCTCTATGAACTAGTTTATTAAATAGTAATAACCTGCAGGCTAACCTAGCAAGTTCAAAAGACACCCCGCTATCATTAATGTTACCATTAAAACCACCGTGTCTATAAATTATCTGCTAAAAGTTTCACTTTTAGTCGGAAATGCTATATAATGCCACTAATGTTTACGCGGTCACTCGGTAGTTTAGTCAGGTGATACGTGCTGGGGCCTCAAAATTATTCTGAAGTTGTTAATCCGCCACTGCAGTCTTGTCAGGATTTCTCACCATCGCACGGGAACGTGGTAGACGTGATTAATGTAACGAAAGGTCTTTGAAACGTCGCCTCCAGCTGGCGACACGCCTCGGTCATGAGTTGTGATTCCGATTTTCGATTCATTGTTGCAAAATCTTTACAATCAAAATCAAAATTCTAGAGTTTGCAGACTAAAATCAATACCATTCATTTAAATCAAAACATCGATAAACTAAAGCACACAAATGAGATTCATTTGTTTCAACTTAAATTCTAGTGGGATCTGTTTCAACCTTATCATTCTCTTCACACCTTCTGACGTTGTTATACTAAATAACACGGAACATCAAACTTGTCCTGCGTGCTAAGTCTACCAACCGTAGAATAACTTTATTAGACATGCAATACAATAAGAAATATCAATAATTCAAAATGCCTAATGACTCAGCTACAGAGGATTGTGGAGTACACTCGATGCACTATAATACCGGACCTCCCCCCGCCCGTCATTTGGATCATTAGTGAATGTTTTGCGATTTTTTTTAAGTCAGTTTGTTTTTTGATTACATTACATAAATACAGATTTCCACCATAAACCTACAAATTCTTTCCACTTTTATCTGTAATGGGTAAGACGGCTATCAGAACCAATTTGTCGACTACATGGTGAGGTATCTTAGGTTATCGCCTGTACCTTAACCAAAACACACAAGACTTCTGAAAAACACACAAGGTACAAATTATAAGAAACCTTCATCGCAGGATTGTGTGTCAAATAATCATTGTAAACATTTTCGTCTGAGACACTTCCTCTTACAGCAGGAGGCACATCATTACGTGTTCTTAGAAATACATGCTACATTTCATAAAGCACAACACGTCGTCGCGTAAAACTCAAAATTTAATATCAGTATTGTAAAAAAACCACAAAAAGAACGTGTCTGGAATATACCAAACTTTTCGCACGAAAACCCCTTACTACTTAGAGTTGTAGTCTACTAAGTTGAAGAGGCAGTACTAAAACTCATTTTCTATGCGAATGGATAATGTTACACATAAAGGTTTGAACGGCAAAGTTTTTGAGAGTCGTTTGCATAAAACTCCCCACTGAGCATTTTTATAAGCTTGCTTCATTTATAACATGCCTGGTACAATTTTTTACTTCGCCTCAACCTGTGGTAGCCTGTAGCGAACTTAGCACGTTTTTCAATAGTTCAAAACTATTTCGTTACGGTGTTTTCATTTACTGTTAGCGAGAACTATTGGTACTAAATATCAACAAATGTACTGTACTATAAATATAGATAGTTAGAAATTAAAGTAATGGTTTAGATGCCGCCACAATATTCAGTCAATGTACATTCAGTTCATAATTTTTAATTTATATATTAGTTTGACGAGCTCTATAACCCCGAGGTTAGCACTTGACGATTGCTTGATGTCAAGGTCCCGGTAGGACCAATTTCCGGTTCTCAGAGTACGTGGAATTTCTTAGTTCGAGACCAAGTGCTTGATAAAATTGTCTGTCACATAATATTCTTTACTCATGTTTTATACAGGGCGTTCCACGGCTATGCCACACGGAGGGATAGTACCTTTAATACCCGCCAAATGTAAAAAAGTATCAATGTTGTTCAT